GTCATATTTCCACCCAATTTTCAAGATGGGACGCTGCCTTATTCCTACCAACTTTGCCTCTCCTCAGAATCCAGAAAGAATGAATTTACCTTCCTGACACCGAACATTCATATTGCTGAGAATGTGGTTTGTGGTGAAAAATCTGAGATGGTTCTTGGAGGCAGTGGAGGAGAAACATTACAGCCTGAGGTGGAGAATAATGGGAAGGTAAATACCATTTCACTGCAAATTCCATAAATCCATCCCCTAAGAGACAGCACAATGCTACACCTGTTTACTCAGAAGCAGATTCCATTCTATTTTACAGTTTTGACACCTAAAATTATATTTCTTGACAGTATTTCACTCAGCCATTTAACATGCCTTTCTCAGAAAATTAATTTGAATTGTCCAGCTGAGTACAATAGCAAGGTAAGTTTCCTTCTTTAAGAACTTCCACAATGTTTAAAATAGAATTTATCACATTATTTTTATTTGTGGATTTCTTGTGTCTAGATAGTATGTGTTTACATGAAATGAAAGATTTCAAACTAGCCTTTTTTTTTATTTAAGTAGATGGTACTTTTTAAAGTGGGGTTTTAAGTCCTTTTCAAAATATTATTCCGTGGTAGTTTTTGAATTATTCTTGCATAGATTAATGACATAATAATTTAGGATATATATCAAGTGAGAGAATTAGGAATATGCTGATCCAAGGTGATATGGAATATACTGATCCAAAACAATATAGTACTTTTCATTTAGATTAATTGTTTTACTATCTATTCTGTTTTCTATCTAGAAGTATTACCTTTTCAGTCCCATTCACTCTTCTCTAATATTACATGTCACTGAATCCAAGCATCCATTTAATTTAGACAAGTAAATATCTCTTGCCTCTTGCTGTAACCAAATGTTTGCTAAAACAAAGAGCTTCCCCAGGTAATAGTTAAAATTAAATGTTTTTTAATGGTAAGTGGTGCTGGTGCTCCCTTCAAAAGTGCAGTGGTCATACAAAGTTAATAAACATGTAATTAGGCACTGGAATACAAAATGCATAATCAAAGAAACTCAGAATTAGTCACAATCCATGTCCAAGGCCACAGAATCATGGAGTTTGGCCACTTTATCTAGTCTTCTGCTGAATGCAGGCATCTGAACTAAAGCATCCGGGATAGATGGCAGTCTAGGTCGACTCTGCTTGAACACAGCCAAGGAAGGGGCACCAACCACATCTCTGCATAATTGGTTCCACTGTCAAACCAGATACTGTTGGAAAATTCTTTATAAAATCTACTTGGAATCAGCTTTCTTAAAACTTACTTATTGCATGTGCTGCATTCTGAAATGACAGAGAAAAAGCCTTGACCTTCTTCTGTATTACATCTTTTCAAGGACTTGAATAGTACTATCGTTTTCCTTCTCTTCTCTTCTTATCTTTACATTACATAATAGTTGCTAATTACCTAGAGTCACAAAACAGGGCACTAAATAAATAACTAAGGAAATAATTTCTTTCTCAGCCTAAATCTTGATCTCTCTTCATACTGGTTAACTTATAAATTCCCTGATCATCCCTTTAGCCCTTCTCTGAACCTGTTTTTAGTCATCTAAACCCTTCTAAAGGGTGGTGCTCATAACCTGATGCAAAATCAGATCTGTGCAATGCAAAATAAAGTTGAAAAAGTAGTTCCTACAATTTAAATTTCTATTTACGCAGCTAACATTGCATTTGTCTTTTTTGTCACTATATCACACTGCTGACTCATGTGGTTCTCAATCAACTATTCAAATATTTTTTTCACATCAAGCCATTCTGTGCCTTTGGATCTGATTTCTGTTTCCTAAGGGAAGAACTTGGCATTTGTCTCTATTGAATTCTTATCAGACTATTTCTCTAATCCATCAAGAAAGTTTTGAATTTTATTTCCGTCTTCTAGATAATAGTTATCCAACTTAATTTGGTCTCATTTGCAAATTTGCTTCTACTTCTTCATAATTACTCTGCTGTATATAGTAGTTGATTGACTGTAGGGTACGTGCTTACTTTCAGTGGGAAAAACAGCTGTCCCACACCCCTCATGGACTGGGCAAGTGCAGATTGAGCTTCCTGATTCTATTTGCAAAAATAGAAGGGGGATGCATTTAAATTCCACATGAAATGGAACGTTTTCTGCATCATGATAATTGCCAATAGGTAATACGTTCTATTGGCCAATTGACAGCAGCATTTGGATGTTCCTTTCCATTGTGCTTCAGAATTCTTAACTTTTATTTTCACTTGGTTGCTACTGTGTGTTTGCTTTCACTTGCAGTTTTAGCCAGTACTGTAGTTTTGTCTTATGCTTCTTTGCAGTGTAGGAAAACAGAAATGCTGCAGCAGCTAAAGAGATTATTGTATAATGAATTGATTTTCATACACAAATTACTTGAGCATCTTGTAACTAAATAAATATAGGAACATTATTTATTTATTTTTTATTTATTTAATAGACTTGTCCCCGCCCATCTCCCCACAACGGGGG